ACTTTTAATTTAGATATCTTGTAAATCTTTAGATATCTTTATAATCCAGTTAATGACTGATTATTGTTTTTCTGTTAAAGGTATTTGTAATATTAATAAAATATGTTCTGAAATAATTCACATCCACAGAAGTGTAAACAGAAATATTGTACAGAGAGTTGAATGCTTTATACTAAAACGACTTAACATCTTCACCACGTCGTTATAATCCATGCCACCACGTATAGTCATGCTGTATCTGAGAATCATACATCTGGAGAGAACAGCACTATACTGTAATATCCACTGCAGAAGGTTCAGTCTAAAGGCTGTCATGTCTAAAGCATAGCATTCCTCCCTGGACGTTTACTATAATGCATCGATTGTACAGTGACAATGATTTCCCAGTACTCATTTCAACGGTTCGATCGCACAAAAATCCATAAGCAAGTTTTCGGGTTGTCGTCATTTGGAATAACATGGATACCTATTTCATTCTCCAGCTGTTTGGAAGCCTTATCTTGATTGACTCACACCCTGTTTGCCACGTTTTAAGACGGTTATCCTTCATATGTTGTGTACTGTTGTCTGAGACCCGTGGACAGATTTTGTAACTGACCTTTGTGTTCGTGGATTCTCAACTGATACAATAGGCCGCACTTTGCTTAACACGGCTGGGATACGACTTGTTGCAGGTCTCCTTCTGGATGGTCCTGTTATCCAGGTTGACCCATATTCCTTTGTTTTCCAATGTCACTAGGTACAATAGATATCCCCATCTTGGAAATTCTATATTCCCTATCTGAACATGTTTTTATGATCTGAGTGTACAAATATTTTGCGTTAGAAAGAGCTGTTACATATCCTTCCAGAAAGTAATCAGTTTTTGATGGCATCAAAACATTTACCAATTTCATACAATATCAAAATGTAGTTCTGATACATGCCTTTTCATCACAACTTTATAGCGGTTATGAATGCCACTTAACTTACATATTTGCATAAACAACCTATTCAACCTGTATTTGCTGAACGAAGTCCCTATTTAATACAATATATTTTATATGATTATTTCTAAGCATCAAATAAAACCAAAATCATTTTCAATAAAATCACATTTCGTATTTGAATCACTCAGTATTTCCAAAATAAGTTATTTAAGCTAACTTCCAATTTAAAAACAATTGTAAAGTATAACATATGTCATGCATATATATATATATATAAAGAGACGAAAATAAAAACTATTTTCTAACCTAGTTTCCGACTAGATATTCGTTTGTAAAGCTCCATGCTGGACTTTCGGTGGATCATACGATGGGTAACAGCTTTGTATTGCTTCCGAAATTCGCGCTCAGATAAAGTGGATTCAGTAGATTCAGAACGCTGTAGAGATGGTTTACTAGTTGATATAGATGAGGCTGACTGTACAGACTCATCTTTTGTGGGTAAAGAATACAAACGTAAAAATTAAAATCGTTTTCTAATTTAAACCAAATAAATGCAACGAAACAAAAATAAATCTAGGATCACGTATTGGTACTATTGAGTAGAGACAAATTTAAAAGACACGATCATTATAGCTCTGTTAAACTAAGTTAAACTCATTAACATAAGTTCACCACAGTATATTAATCTAAATCTTTACTGTATACCTCATGTCAGAAACTCACCATTGTTCTGATTCCAAACAGCTAATTCTTCTTTTGGACCGACGTAGATCCAGAAGTTGGAGCAATAGCTGTCTAGATGAAGCCCTAAAAGTCCATTTAAATTAATAGGTGTTATGAAACATGTACGTTTTGCGATATGCGTGTCATTTTAAATTAATTACTTTCGATTTCTAGTTTACATCGTTACTAGTGCAATAACAATATAAAGTGTGTCATTTAATATACAAAACTAGGCTATGTACTACTGCAATAACAATATAAAGTGTGTCATTTAAGATACAAAACTAGGCTATGTACTACAAACAGCGGCTCTTAATATAAAGAACTCAAAAACAGGGAATACTTAAGATAAATTATTCTACGTAGAAATAGTTATCATGTCAATTATTTTAGCATATTACTGACAGATTCTGTCATCACGCCTTTCATGGAAACTTTGCATGTTACTCATCTTTTCTTTGGGTGATTGAAAATACTAATAAATTTAGAATTTTAGTTTTATTTAGATTGATTAGAAAACTTTAGAGCTACCTTTTTATTGGCTTGTTCAAGACTTTAGACTTGTATTCTAATTGGATGATTCAACGATAGATATTTTAAAATATTTTCAATGTTAACAATTTTTTTATTGATGGATTCATAAAGCATTATATTTCAAGATTTGGGCAGATTTATGATGAGTGATTTAAACTTTTTCTATCTTTATTTTTTATTTGCTAATTCAAGATGTTATGTAAGCCCTATGCCTTAAGTTTTTCTTCACTTTTTCAAGATCTTTACAAATATTTCTGTTTTATTTATGAATCTTACTAGTTGATATTTTTTACAGCACCTTTTATGACTTAGTAGAGACAATCTCGGCCTTTTATATTATATAATATTTTTCTGTTTTTGTTTGTTTCGGATATTCGCGCAAAGCTACACAAAGGCAATCTGCGATAGCCGTCCCTAATTTTGAGTTGATAAGTAGAGGGTTAATCAGTCGCACCCATCATCAACTCTTTAGCTACACCAACAAACAATGGGGTTAGACTGTTACTCATATAATGCACCCGCAACTCCAAAGTGCGAACCATGGGCTTTCCGATTCAAAAACTGACACGATAACCCTCGGCGAAGTCCGACCCTTGCTTTTGGATTTTAAGTGAGATTACCGAAAGTCATAAGCCATAAGTTTAACGAGCCCAGAATTTGTGAAAATAATCATACAAAGATATGGTATGTTGAAGTTCAAAATGTATCACTTTGGTAGGTGTAACTTGTTAAAAAAAATATCTAGTTTATCTTTATTGCAGTTTTGTTGAAAAAAATCTACAGTGGTTGCATAAAGTGAGTAATTGTTGTCTCCTTTATTTTATTATTATTGAATCGTACTGGTAATCACAATGTATGTTTTCCCCACTATATTGTTTGTTTTATAGCAAAGCCACATTGGGCCGTCTGCTATGTCCACCGCGGGGAATCAAACCACGGATTTTAGCATTGCAAGTCCGTAGATGTCCCACTGAAGGACCCACCATATTATATTTCTGAACGTTATGTACAATATGCCATCATTATATCGTACTGGTAAGTCTAACACTTAGTATATTATTACTGTGTCATACCAGTAAATGTAATATTTGAATAATTATCATTACTTTATTGTACTGCTAGTTGTAATATGTAACTTATTTTCATTGTAATGTATCAATCATTGTAACACTACTATTGTAATGTTTTGGTAACTGTTCTACACTATTGCCAAAAAGAAGTGATTTTGGTGTGTACTTTATTACCACTTTTATGTAATAATAATAGGTATTTATTACTAGTACAACGTCAAAGATTTTACAGTTATTGTTATGGTGTTGTATTTTGAAATTAATGAGTAATTTATTTTCAAAGCATTAATGTAACGTATAATTCATTATCATTTTGACGACTTTTAGCACGGTTTTCTTCTTCTACAACCAGAATAGTAGCATGCAATTATTTGTCACTTTTGAACAATATATTATGTTATATCCATTTTAACATAGTGTAAAGTGTGTATGTTATTAGAATCGTGAAGCAATATAACAAATAGTTTATCTTGGTGGAGTTTAGAAACTGTCTAATATACATTACCTTTATGAGCCAAAGTTGGAGTGTGTGATAAATCAATGAAACTTAATTAACAATAATTCATTTTGAATTGAACGTAATTACAATTATTAGTTTATGGTGTAATACATTTATTAATGTTAATGAGCTTATTATTGGCGAGAAATATTTCGGTAGTAATTGCGATTTGTTAACTGTGTTCTATCGATTAAAATGACAAAGTTTTAAATTAAAATATTACAAAGAAATGGCAATAGTGGTTGTAAATTATTATTTAAAAAACAATAAGTCAAGTAAACGTGCTACTGGTGTCTCTTCCAAGACTTTCTTGTTCCTGTGTTTATCAGAGATTATTGTAAAAAGGACAGTAGAAAATTGCATAATCGCTTTACCATTCATAAAATTATGATTATGGTTTATGTTTTAAAAGATTATTGAAGCAGTTATCAAATAACTATTTTTATATTCAGAAATTATTCACTTCTTTGTTCTGTTTTTCATCGTTTGATTTAGATAATTTATATTTATATGTAAGTAGAAAAATAATAGAGGGCGTAAGGTATAAAAAATAATTAATTTTGAAACTCTACCGGCATCTTCCTCTTCATCTTCAAGCACCCCCTTTTCTAGACTTCCGACAGTGTCACCCCATCGTGGATGGCAAGAATACCGAGGTAGTGGTCTTCCATAATATTCACTTACTGTAGGTTTCGATCTTTCTTTGTCTGGAGCATGTCGAATTATAGGCTGGACATCGTGAATTAAAGTTGGTTCCCAGAATTGCCTTTCACAGCTACCAGATGGTGTGGAAATTTGATCATGTAGACTAATCTTATCTCCACAATAGTTACATGTATATCGACGAAAATCATCTCTTAGACCAACTTTTCTAACACACAAGTGTAGTTTAGAAGCAGGGCATCTTTTTCGTTGTTCATCCATCATTACACAGTGATGAACGCAAGAGCCTGTTGGTGTTACAGCAGAGCGCCGTGCCTTTTCTTTGTCTCTTTGACGAAATGTTGCGATATCCTGATGCACAGAAAAGTGTTTTTGAGAGAGGTCCTTTTGTTTTGGTATGGCACCTTCGTTTTCTCGAGAATGACTAGTAGAGTTAGAGTGGGAGCTCTGGTTGTCTGCTGCGGCAGGAGACTCGGTCGTACTCGACATTACCTCTGATGGCGTGTCTTTGTCTGTAGCTATGCTTTCTGAACTTTTAGTCTGAGAAATTCCAACTTTTAGAATTTCTTGGTTCGATCCATGATGATACTTATCAAACTGATTTATTTGACCTAAACCTTCAACGCCCTCACTGTAATCTTCAAGTTTTTTCATTAGTTTTATGTCTGATTCTTCCCTCTGGTCAACACTACTGTCCAATATGAAACTTCCAGATGTGCTGCTGTCAATACTCGGCGTAGTTGTTTCGGAAAGAATGCATTCTGAAGAAGATGAAAGCTTATCCACATTTTGATAAGAAAGCTGATTTGATACCTCATCCACTTTATTCGAAACACCAGGCACCATAACTTTTGTGATTGTTTGATTACAGATACTATCTTCATTACTTGTGAAGTTTCCACTTAATGAGAACTCTTCAGCAGTTTTTATTGTTTCTTTTTTCGTGTTATCAAATACTTCGTTCTTCGATTCTTTTTCAAGCACGGGTTTTGTTTCAATTTCCTGTGAATCAGAGTCAGTCATACTTTCTTTCAGGCAACCTAAAGAATCGTGTAATGACTCCACTAGATCTCCTGACGTTCCTTCACTTCTGTTTTCAATAACAGTTGTTGGATCTTGCATACTAGATGGCTCTGGGGAAGGTTCTGGTACAGGAGTAACGTCACCAGGATTATCCAGTTCGTCCCCTTGTGCTGCTTCATACATAGGTATTTCTGGAATTTCTCCAAGTTCAGAGTCGGAACTGACTAACTCTTTTTTTGTTGATTCTTCTGAAGAGTCGAAAGTGTCAGAACGTCTCGAATAACTATTAGAAATAAACCGTTTAGTAGTTTCAGTGGGCATTGAGGGGTACATAAGAACATGTTCAGGTTTCTCAGTTGCATTGAATGATGTAAACTCTTTTTTACCTCTTATTCCATGGCTGTAAGAAGATGAAGAAGAAGATTTGATTTGACCACTTTTTGAAGATAGTGAAGTGAAAGCGCTAAGTAATGGAGAGGTTGGTTCAAAAGAATTATGGTGCTCATCATTATTGTTACTCTGAATGATGAGTTTCACAAAATCTTCTTTATGATTCCCTCTCTCCTGATTGGAATGTTCAGTTGCTGTAACATACTCTGAACTTTCACTAATTTCTTCACATTCTGTTTCACTTTTGTTTGACAACTCACTTTTGATAGTAAAGTTGGAACTGCTGGTTGACATCTCACTATGGGATGTTTCTTGTTCAGTGAAATGGCTGCTGGAAGATTCGCTGTCAGGAGAGCTTATGCCTTTCTGAAGTGAATGAATTTCACTATTTGTCGTAACATCTGTACCGTTAAGTTCGTAGGAATATTCATCCAATGTAATTGTGGAAACACTGTTAGCAGTCTGTGGAGATGAGCCTTCACTTTGTAAAACAGCTTCTGTTGTTACAGTTAGGGAGTCTTCGCTCTGTCCTGAGTTGTATTTTATTGAAGATGTCTGGTTGTCATGACTGGATTCAGTATTAGCATTAAGTTCTTTTGTCATTTCCCTAATAATGTTTGTTTGCGGTTTCTCAGATGTGAAAACTGCCTCTGAAGTAATAGCGTGACTTTCTGATATATCCTTTTTTATATCTTTGGGAGAACTTGTAGGAAGCGCGTCCATGCTTAATTCTTTATTTTCTGGTATTTCCAAACTGTTTTGTTTTTCCTCTTCATCGTCACCTGTGGAAATTTCTATTTCCATCGAATATTTTCCCATAGAATGCAGGAGTGAGCTACGACTTTTTCTCTGAATAGAATATGGTTGTTGAAGAAGTTTTTCAAGTGGATCGTAAAGCTGTTTCATATAATCAGTTTTTGTACTTTCAAGGGATAGTTTACGAAATAACGTTTCATGACGTCTAGTAACATTTAGCTCATCGTATGAACTTCTGTTTTTTTCCGTGTTCTTATTGGGAGGAGAATTGGGCTTGAATGATACTATGATTTCTTCTTCACTTTCTGCTTTTATCGCTTCTTTCTCCTGAAGACTTTTCTGTTTGGTAGTTCGAATAGTGCGATGCTGCTTGGTGACTAAGTCAACCTCTAATAATTCTTCCTCGCTGTCGCCCTTATCCAGCTTATCACAGGACAAATGCGTTTTACCCAGAAAACTTGCACTATTATAACGATGTCCGTTGTGCAGCTGCTTAGCTGGAGCAGTTGCGCGAGGAGATAAAGTTAAATACGCAGGAATATTGAAAGAAATGTTAACTGAACTGTCAGTTTGTGTTGCTTGTGTCTTCTTAGGGGCTTTCTTTTGTCTTGATAGAAAATAGTTTCTGATCCCGCCTCCTGTGTCAGTCTGTGATGACTGGCTGTTTGATAATTTAAGGTCTCTCGAATAACGGTCCAGTGATTCAACTGGAGACTTCAAAGACATATCTAAAAGACGTTCGTGTGACCTATTTTGTTCTAAATTAGAAGAACTCTTTCTTTGAGCACCTGTTACAGTAGAAAAGGACGTGATTCCTGTATCTAACATTTTCAGTTCACCAATAGTATTACTGCGCACCAAAGAAGCCGATTCGAAACTAACATGTTTCTGCTTACGCTCATCCAGAGAGAAATCAGGAGTTTTGGATGTTCTTTTTTCCAATCGAGACTCATAAACATCCCGTTTCTTTCCAAAATCTTCGTTCAGAGCATCCACGCTTTGACTTGGCGTAAAAGAAGATCTCGCTTTGTTTTCCAGTTGTAACTGTGACGGTCTGGTAAAACCCAGCCCTCCAGGAACAAATTCACTATCTACACTACAATGACTAGAACTCAACTGATTCTCTGACTTTTCGAAATGTGGACCGTTTAGCTGATTTTTTGTGCCTTCACTCTCGGCATCTAGCAATGACAATCGAAATTTGGAGTCTGAAGGACAAAAGGATTTAGGTCTCCGACGAAAACCAGTCTTTACAAATTCATCCTCATCGGAGAAGTTCCCAGCGCCACTGAGAGTTTTTTCCTCTTTGGCCCTACTAAGATCAGGACGATTTTCAGTATGATAATTTGCCCACGAACTAGGTCTCAAGAAAGGTAAAGATTTGTTAAAATTGTCCTTATTCGAAGGCCTTTTTTTCACCATGCAAGAAAATATGGACGAACTACTACCGCAGAAAATACTTGACTGTCCTGCTAAACAACCAAATAAACGACCCGCTTTGGCATTTTCTAAGACTTCCAGTTCTTTCTTAGTGATGCAATACTGCTCTCTGATATCTTCTCTAGAATAAATAGGATGCCCTTTTTTGTTGCGAAGAAACGTTCCCTTTTTCTTTACCATTTCATCATCTGAGTCATACGTAATAGTGTCTGCTGAAAGATCAACCTGTATACTCTCGTCTACAAGATCAAACGATGCCGATTTAAAAGACACTGGAGTATCCCGGGAACAAAGGGTTAGTCTTGAATTTCCCAAAGAACATACTGTAAAATGAAATAAATACTATTGTATACAAAGGACAATACGTTCTAACACATGAATAAGCAAACGCTTTAAAATTTAATTATGTAGTTATTCCTTCGTTTTACTTTCTTTTAATGGAAATTCTTTAAACTATTACGTGAAACGGTTTGAGACCAATTAACTTTCAAAGAACTTTTAACATAAGGGAACACACAATAAAATAATATCAAAAATATTTATATACAAGAAAAATTCGATGTTCTTTAATTTTTCGCTTTTACTAGTTTCTCTACGTTGAGGTTTCATAATTAATTACCATCCCAGTTTTTCTGTGGAATCATACAATAATAAAAAGGAAACTTACTTGACTTTTGGAAGTTGTTAAATATTTTTGGATATTTCCATCCGCTAGAAAGCTTAAAAAAGATTTTCACCTACAATTTTATTCGTAATATTAACTTATTCTATTAATAAGAAACACAGTGTGTTGTAATTAACAGATTATAGAAATGAATAGACATCATTAGTGTCGAACACGTGTTGCCCGTTTGGTTGATTATAAATTTAAGTGCAGTTTTTCAATCAGAAAATCAAATATTTCTTTAAATTTAGTTTTATCTGTGGCATTTTATGTTTCTCAAATTCTAGGCTAGTCACATTAGTAAGTCATGTTGTGAAGTAAAATGTCTTACTAGTTCCAACATTTGGTAAGATTCAAGACAAAGATGAATAGTAATTTGAAAACCTTCAAAAATCTGCACTTTAATTTCGTCAAAGGAAAATGTCATTATAAATGAAATAAATTGCTCGTGTACACGTCTTTCAATACCATTCAGAAATTTTTACTGAAAAAATAGAACTAAAAAACGCAAATAGGATTAATATCGAAAAAAATGTGGATGTGTAGATATATACTGTCAGTTCCATTAAAACGTTTAAAAATATAACCTTAATAACCCAAAAAAGTATCAAATGTTTACTGATATATATAAATTGCAGCTAAGATTTCTAGAACACTGTGCTGACTTTTTTCCTCTCCAAAGATGCAAATTAAGTTGTTGTTATTTTTATTTTCTAACTACACTTATCTCTTCAAACAAATATATTTCAACTCTAATCCTGGAAAGCTAGCTACTGAATGTCTTTAAGTAAGTAATGTTATAGTTGAATTTAAGGTTCAATAATACGTAACTGATTTGCAATGAAATTAAATTCCATTACAGATTTTTCTAAAATCAAGTGAACATGTATAAAAACGTTTGTATATAAAATAACAACAATATTTTTCAAATTAAGGAATTTTTCTTTTTTTCACAGATAAAAGTCTATTATAATAACACTCAGATTTTGTCTGTCCTGAAAATGCGCGCGCGCTTCATTTCAACGGATGTAAACAATAGGCGGACGTAAATATACTTTAGTAGACGTTTTGTACAATAACATATTAAAGGCTTATCAAAGTTTTAAAAAGGTCTAACGTTACGTTAGGCCTAACGTAACTAAAGCAAACAACGTAAACAAATTACAGTTTTAATTTATGTCTTTATCGATTATAGGCCATGCTTAATTAAGGCTTACCTAATGTTAGGTTTAAGACAAATGGATTCATTGTTCCTGTATTTAAAGAAGTACTGTTTAAATAAAATTATAATTTGACCGCAAATGTTTTGAGAATCTTTGCTAGTTATCTAAAATTTTACAAAACATACTTTATAAAATTATACTATAAGCATTTGTACATCTAGAAAAAGTAGATAACATGAAACTATATGGCTCCCTATAATTAAATACCCAGGTAGTGGGAAAATGTGATATTATTAACTTTTAAAAACATTTAGTATATTTTATGAGTCATTCTATCACTGACTGAAAAACATTGATTTTCTTCAATAAGCTCTGATTAAGATCATAAACAACGGACTGCTGCAAAATGGTAAAAATTTTTTTTTTACCAGAATCTGCTTTACATTACATTTTGAATTGTACATAATTATAAGGAACTTGTGCAGTTTCTTCAAAACGTGTGTGTGCATTGTATGGCTATCTTTTACTTAAGAAAGGTTACATAAATTGTAAATCTATAGATTACAACAAGTAAAAACGAATTAATTAGATAACATTCTCCGACCTTCAGATATATAGAAATGGAAGAAGATAGTTACTGCTAGACATTATTTAGTTCATTAGAGGTTTATTAGCATCAATAAAATAGAAGAACGATGGTTTCCATTAAAATATGGCTCCTTTTTTTATTATTCCCGATTTATCTCGTGGATTACATTACAGGTCACTTTTGTATAACTTTATTAAATTTGGAAATTGCCTAAATTTAACTTTTCATTTAAAGATCATTTATGAAAAGATCATAAGATATTGTTTAAGAAAAGCTAGATTATATACAATGTTTTTAAAGAATTTTTCAAATGCTGATACGATCTTGTTTATTTCGACATTACACATTTTTACTTGAATAACTCAATTTAATTACATACTCCGTTTACTTTAACCCTTGATTCATAGACATCCTTTCAAATTCACACAGATTATAAAATACTAACCCAATGTAAAGGGTTGAGTACATAATATAAAAACAGTTTTGAGCATATTAATCAGCAAGTCACGTGATACCCACAGCCGATATAAAATGTTGGTGGAACACAATGTATTACCTACATTTTAACATTGTTTAATGGTGCATAGGTTGTATGATGCCACAAAAATTGGTCGTTTTTACAAATATCTGAAGCAAAACATTCATACTCTCAGATCTTTAAGATGTGTTCATATCGGGGACTTAGAATTTCCAAGATGAAGGTATCCCTTGTACATATTGGTATTGGAAAACCCATGGAAGAAGATGCATTGTTTGTTGATGCATCCAACATATGAGATCATTATCAGGCTGGACGTGAAGTCTCCTGCGCCACCACATCAGGTCATTTATCAGCCATCAACATCCATACCAAGAGAAGATGAGCCTGCAGCAGATGAACTGTATCTCATGTCCAGTCGAGCCAAGTTTGGCAGCAGCTTTACCCATAGTAACAAAACCAACCCCTCAAAGAACCGATGATGGCCTCATGATTCCATCCTACGTTTGTACAGTGCCCATCAGAAGATGCACTGTTAGAAAACATCACCAAATGTGCATTACCCCCGATGGTGCATACTGCATGCTAAGGCCCTATACGTATATACTTTTATCTTTTGTGTAATTTTTGTTTTGTATTTTTAATCTAAAAACTCATTTTGTAAATGTGGTTTTACTGATTTATACACTATTACTTTGTATTCTTTTTAATTTTGAGGGACAATTTATTGCTTTTTACATTTGTTTGGTTTTAATGTCAACGGATTTAAAACGCATTTGATTTTTATCTGTGTTTGTTGTTGTTTTTTTACGAAGGGATTGTTTGGTTTTGATTATAGTGTGAAATATTGCATCTTGTATTCATTCTAAATAATTCTGTTATTCTGCAGATCCTACTCTTTGGGGAAATCAATGCGCTTGAGAATACCACATCAGTTGTAGCCACCAAATATACCAATGGGATTAAACTGATTTATAATTATATATTTTCAACTGCTGGAATCTTTAATGGCTTTTATTAACTAGTCTAAACATAATTTTACTAGCTCAATAAAAGAGACCCTCCTTGAAAAGTGATTTACTTCCTAATCACTAGATCATCTTCCTTGCCCAAACGAGAAGTCTTTGTTTCAATAATGATTTAAACAGAGTACCAATGAAGTTTCTCACAACAGATGGAAATTTAACGGATGTTAAGTGTCTCAAACCAAATGATTTTTCTCACCTTAATCGAAACTCTTTGAATGAAAACAAAGTATATATTAAACCTAATACAGTCAATTGAATTCTGATGAAATTGTGAAACTTGGTAAAACGTATGGCGACATATTGCTGATTAGATTCTTAATGTATGTTTTACTTGCTATTTGAAATACCCGTTCTTAGGTCATTGACCGTTAGGTAGCAGTACCACGTGAGCAAAAACTAGTATTGCAATTAGTTGAATATTTATTGTGTTTCACTTGCCTACCTCAGGGTAGGGAAAGACTTTAAAATAAATCTTAATCAAACCTTTTTCCATTGGGTTGATCTTTAGTAAATTTCAACTGCTACTTCGAAGACAATTCTGTTTACAAAAAGAGAAAGATCTTCTATAAGAAAAAGCTTGTTTGAAGGAGGAGGTGAGAAGGGCAACCAAACAGAATTTAAATATCAATAAATTCTCTCAAAAAGGGTTGGATCTTCAGTGAGCTTTATTTACTAGTAGCTAAACGACTTTATATTCCAAGCTCCTTACAAGAAATGAAGAAAAAAAGCTCTACATTAAATCTGTTACAATCGACTTGATCCTTAGCGGATTTTGATTGCTATTTTTCGCAAGATATTACACCAAGGAAGTGTTAAGTCCCGCCGTAAAGAAACAAGAATTAAATTCAAAATAAATCCCTTGGACCTTAATATATCTTGTTATTAGTCCGACAATTTTATTCCGCCAAAAACGAATCATCAACATAGAAACAGAAAATAAGTTTAACTTAAATATTTTCGTATTCGGGAGACTAAAAAGTGGACTTTGCTTACCGGTAGTTAAAAAGTCCTGGTAGGAAACTAACGGCTGAATTCTTACTAAGTTTGTGATAACATTCTCTAGAAAAGCTACTTACTTAAGGAGGAATCGCAGAGTGAAACGTTTCAAATGAAACTAAAATAAGTTTCTGATATCAAGTGAAACGGTATTATTAAGTATTGAATTATTTTAGCCATCTAAAGAAGACTCTCTGATAAGGTGACCATCATTCTTTATCTGACTTCGTTCCAACGTAGTTTTGTATTCGGACTAAGGAGAACCACGGTAAGGAAGCGCTTGACTAAGGAGAGCCACGGTAAGGAAGCGCTTGACTAAGGAGAACCACGGTAAGGAGGCGCTTGACTAAGGAGAGCCACGGTAAGGAAGCGCTTGACTAAGGAGAACCACGGTAAGGAAGCGCT